TATATATATATTTTTTTTTTTGCAACTAGAATAATCCAAATTAACCCTGCGAGGTTGTTAGAGCAATCTTTTGATCCAGTGATTGAATCCAACTACCCTTAGGCAATTAAGGAAAGACTCTCTCCCTCCATATGGCGAATTTTACAACAACCCATGATCGGTGTTTCCTCTCTCTGTACCAAAGCTGCTGGAGTTGTGAAAAGTGGAATTTAGACATCAGTCTTTTTTTAACCTTATTACATAGTTATATACTTAGTAAATTGCTTATTGTGTTTTGAAAAAAGCTCTCCAAATATTATTGATCACTTTTGACATTCAGAAGTACTCATTACTATAAGTCTACAAGGCCAAAGACTGTAGCAAGCATAATGAAAAGAAGTCACACTATTTGCCTTCATTAAGCTTTGTATGGCTGCCCTCAGTCCACTTATCTGCAAAGACAGTACAAGAAAATGCTTCTTTTCTTTGCGAGTATCTACATGGAGCTGTAATGACAGTGTTCTGCTGCCACCTGCTGTTAGTTTTGTATATATCTAATGACAAAAAAATGAGACTTGCTACAAAGCACTTGTGTGACCTACCAGTGTTTGAAGAGGTTGTATTCCCTATAAAAGGAGAAACGACAGATGAATTTAATTTTTTTTTTCCTGCTGTAACCCATCCTCTCCAAGGTCTGACATGTTTGTGTTTAAAAGTTGCCCTTCTGTACACCACTGCGGTAAAGAGTGCTTACAAGAATGGTTGACATTAGGGATGCACAGATACTTTTCGAGTACCAGTGCAGATACTTGGCATTTTCATGAGAACTACCAGGGTTGCAGGGGTTGCAGCTGGGACCGGGCTCTGGCACTCCACCACTGTCCTGAAATCATTAGTTGATATTGTTTTCGAAAAACTTGTCACATGACAAACAAAAATGTATCAGTACTCATACTTGTAAGTACTCGGCAAGTACCAGTACTCGCAAAACTGGTATCGGTGCATCCCTTTATTTATATTTATAAAAACAAAATAATACATTAAAGCAGAGATGTACAAATCCCAGAAGCTCCGTGTGCTCCTTACACATGACAGCTGCCTCCTAATTTCTGAATTTTTCTCTAGTCTAGTCTTGGAACTCAAAAGTATCGGTACATTTCCTCGTACATGTACCGAGTACTGTTCTTGGTATCTGTGCAACCCTAGTTGACATCTTGTCAGCTCAAAGTGTCTAAATAACATACGTATGGGAGGCTGCCGTTGCTGGCTCCAGTCTAAAACGCTGTGTCTGGCTTCAGTTTTTGAGTCAAATACCCAGAAAAAAATGTAAATGTGTGTCTTTAAAGTGGCAGAAATTCTGATCTCCATACTTGTTGCGGGTAAAACAAAGCACCGAAGTTATGACAGCCAGGAAACAAATATTCACAAACAGATGCTGAGAGCAGTACAGAATCAATGGCTGGCAAATACTGTTAATGTAGGCAGCAGCAAAGAACTAACCAACTGCGGGAACAGAGTGCACATGATACGAAAACTAGCACGTAATTCCCCAGCTTATTAACCCTTTCTGTGGGAAACAAATAGAAATAGGGTAATAGTGGTGCTTAACAGTACCATAATGCAGTAGTTCCCATTGCTCAGACACATAAGGGGGTCCTTAGAGACCTAACCAAGCTCTGGACCTGGGCAAAGCTCGGGTGTAAGGAGGATCCGATGGCAGCTGATGGCTGTTTAATCGATAGGTCAGTGTCTAGGATAATGCCGAGGCTGCACACATGGTCTGAGAACATACGAGTTGTGCTCCCAAGGTCTGAACCAGCTGGACCTTGGGAGCACAACTGCCGCATTGATGACCTCTGCCCTCCAATTACAAGCACTTCTGTCTCCTCTGCAATTTGTTTCAGCCAGTTATAGTTCATCCACTCCTTTATGTCAATAAGATATCTATTGATCTTGGTCACAGGGTTTAAATACATGTAGAGTTGTGTCACCTTGTCTACATAGCAATAGTAGACAACTATGGTGTTAGATGATCTTTCCCAGTGGGATCATGTATATTGTAAATACCATTGGTGACAGAATTGAGCCCGTGGCACCAGTAACATAATGAAAGTAAAGAGGATGAGTGTATTCCTGCTGTGATTTGAACAAGCCTCTAAGCACTGTATGCTCCAGTAAGGTGTTATGGTCTAGTTTTAAATGCTGCAGAAAGCTCAAAAGGAAGATAAGGATGGAGCATTCTCCCTGGTCTCTAGCCTCCAATTGGTCATTCAGTAGGCAGGCCAGTGCTGTTTTGTACTGTGTTTTTCTGAAAGCAGACTTAAATGTATAATAGATTTTGTTACTTATCCGTGAGGCTCCCAGTCAGTCACTGACTGCCTTTTCAATCACCGTTCCTAAAAAAGGCAAGGCTTGACACTTTGACACTGGTCTGTAGTTGCCCAAGATCGTTGGATCCAAATAATTTTTTAGTTTTTTTGGTTGTTTATTTTTTTTAAAGTAATGGCCTGATAATGCTTGGTTGTTGGTGTGAGAAGATCCCTGAATCAACAGAACACTATACAATTTTTTGGACCACTCAACTAATGTGGCTAATTCATGCTAGTAATAGGCCTTTTGTACCTGCGTCAAGGTCAAATGTAGTTGGGCAGAGCCTTTTGATGATTAGCATGTAGGGGTTGGAGGTAAGAGCCTGAAGAAAGGCTGGCACCCTATGTAAGATATAGTGCCTTGGCAAAGAAGTCCTGCGTGCCCATGAGACATGCATTAGTGAATAGTGATTGCCGTGGAGTGCGGTCCTTCTTGCACAGTTTATATAACCAACACTGGCTGTGCACCCAGAAGTTTGGAAGCTATCTGTGTACAAAATGGATGCATCTCTGAGTCGAAAGAAGAAAGCAAAAACATGCGACAATCCTGTAAATTTCAAATGAACAACACACAGCAATGCAAAGTAGGGGAGGTAGGTAAGGGTCAGGGGCTTTTATGCAGGTGTATAAAATAGCTTTTTTTTCTTGCTGGGAACTTTATGCTCAATTTTTTAAAGAAGACTGACCGCTTTAGGAGCCAGTAGCTTCAGATAAATCCACATCAACATGATCAGCATATTTTATATAGCACCAACAATTTAGGCAGTGCTTTGCATTGTTGTACATTCCCATCAGTTCCTGCCCTCAAGGAGCTTACAATCTAAGGTCCCTAGCTCACATGCATACATGGCCAATTTACACAGGAGCCAATCAACCTTCCAGTATGTGTTTGGGGTGTGGGAGGAAACCGGAGTACCTGGAGGAAATCTACGCAAGCACAGGGAGAACATGCAAACTCTGTGCAGATAGTGTGCTGACTGGGATACAAACCAGGGACCCCCAGTGCTGCAGGGCAGAAGTGCAAGCCACCACTGTGCTGCCCCATAAAGATAGATATCACTGGATATGAATATTATTCAGGTGTCTGGTATTTTCAGAGTGCGGTCTGCAACAGTAGCCCGCATACTGTATTTTTTAAATCTAGTAGCCCATTTCACTTAAATGTGTAGCGGACAAAACACTAAGCTCTACAAAGTTTGCTGCAGACAAGGGAAAGAAAAAAAAGATAGCAAGAATGTCTGCCTGCAGCAAAGCTTTTACAGCATTCTAGGGGGGAAAAAAATACGGAAGACAACAAAGAAAATGTTAGCAACCCTCAATTAAATCAAGGAGAACACTGTAATATACCAAACTCGCATAATAAAAAGCCTCAGGTCTTAACAAATGAGAACTTCAAAAGGACAGGATTTATTCCCCTTTGCAACATAACGCCAGAATGTACTAAAAAGCATGTGGGGGCTGGGCGAACTGCCACAGAAGATATTCAATATTCCTAAAATCTCAGCAGCAATCTTATAACTAACCTTCAGAGAATAAAATTACATCTTGGGAATTAGATTAAAAGAAGACTAATCCAGACACTAATGTACATCAACAGTACCTAACATTTTATCTACAGCACCTAAAAATAAAATCACAGTTTAAGAATAATGCATAAAAGTAGCTAAAGTTGATAAAACATACAATTCCCATCAGTTAATGGACTTGTGTGACAAAGCACTTTCTTATGCAAAAATATCCAACACACGTGTTCCCAAATCCTCTACACAGATTTATATTTTATGCCATAAATGTTAAGTCATACTTTTATAATCCGCATCAGCAAACGAGAGGAAAAGAGAAGCATTTACCTTTAGTGGAGAAATATGAGAGTGTGACACAAGCCCATGGACATTCTCTATCTGGGAGATATTCTTCTCAGAAACCTGCACCAACTCTGGACTTCTTACATCACTCAAGATGTGTGGGGAACTGGGTTCTTGTGAAGGTAGATCATCATCTTGATATCGATATTTCTAAAAGAAATAAAGCAGAAGATTGCATGGTTACCACTGGATAGTTCAGTCTAAACTTACGCTAAAATACAACATTTAAACCAAGCAGAAAGTGGTAGACAAATGGAAGGAAAGACTTCACCTTCTCTGCCTTTATGCACTAATAAAAACTAAAAAAAAAAAAAAACCATTCAGGGCCTAGTCACACAATTTACTGCATGCAAATGTGTATCTCATTAGAAATGTGTCTGGTTCACATCTATGTGCAGCAGTTTACGTGTTTCAAAAATATATAAAAAAATATATAAATACAGACACTCCTCGGGTTACGTTCTGGAAAATACATTATAAAGTGAAAATATCACAAACCAAGAAGTGTACTAAAGCTGCCACCGCTCTGCTCGTCCGTACGCCTCCCCGCTGGTGCTGGCTGCAGCAGTCTGTGTCCCTTTCAATCCCCGCCTGTATCGGCAGAGGCAGCAGGGACACAGACCACTGCTGCCGGCACCAGCATTCTCCCCCCCAAGTACCATTGCTACTGCCCTGGTGTCCTTCTCTGCCTCGCGTGCCTGAGCCTCGTGTCCAGTTCCTACTCTGCCTTAGCCACACCCCGTCAATGCCCCATCCCACCTTAGCGACACCCCTGTCCCGTTCCACCTCTGCATTTATAGGCCGGGAGCAATAGCCAGCCTGCTATTGGATATTTCAAATTGCAATAGCTGGTTGGCTATTGCACCCACCCACTGCCTGCTGTCAATCAGCAGAGGTGGGCCTGATGGAGAATTTTTTCCATCAGGTCCCTCCTCTGCTGGTTGACAGCAGGCGGGTGCAATAGCCACCCAGCTATTGGCTATTGCAATATGAAATATCCAATAGCAGGCTGGCTATTGCTCCCAGCCAGCACCCCAGGTACTCCCGCCGTCACCCCACCCTCCAATGTCCATCCCAACCGCTGACCAATGAGAAGCTCTTCTTAGCACAGTTAAATATGGTTTTGGTTAAAACTATTTTTTGTATCAGGAGAAGTAGATTGGGCCCCGCTTTGATTCTTGGAGAAGGTTTTTTTAAAATGTCAACACCCCGGCTTTACACCACTCCGTGTACCGTATTTGAATTTATGAAAACTGTGGATATCCCTTGCTAGGTTTTCCTGAATTTAGGCTACTTGCTGTACTATATAGGCTGTTTAGACTGTTACCCTTTGGAAAAGAATAAACCCGTCTTTAAAAAAAAATCCTAGTTAGGTAATATCACGTGACTGCAAAATTTGGAACAGTTCAAGAGTTAAATGCTTATGCAAAAGCACTCTGTATACGTATTTCAAAAGGAAAAACAATCTATTTTCTTCATTTGACATTAATTCTTCCAGTATACATCATACCCCCTATGAATGATTCAGCACTTCTATTTCTAAAAATGACAATGCAGTGACAGTATAACAAGAGGTGCCAAGTTTAGAGAAAATAAGATCATTTTGCAGCATTAACATTTCCTCCAGGGAATGAGATGGGGAGATCTGGACAGTGAAACCAAACATGGCCTGCATGGCTACAGGGAAAATTCAGGGACATATTTATGTTTTGTCAGCATAATGTCAGAGCCTCACTAGTAATAACACTAAGTTCCTGAAAAAAATGTCAAGACTAAGTACATCACTGTGTTTGTACAGCCTTCGCAACTATTAAATGTAAGCTATCAGGGCACATCAGCGATGCCCATTTCATCTAATAGGCAAAGACAAGTGTGGACCCCAAAAAAGTGATAATTAACTTGCCTTCAGGAAGATACCTTTTTTTTTTAAAGTTCGTTTTTTGATTTATACAAAACTTCTTAAACTGACAAACACACACTCATACAATTGCTCTCTAGCAGAAGAAATATTTTGAAGGTAGTGTTAGAAAGCAGGGAGCCCCTAATAAACTTCTGTGCCCACAGAGAGAAGAGCAACAACACTGGGTATAACAGAAGGTAGCAATTTATGTACAGCAAGGTGGCATAATCTCAGAGTAGGTCAGCCAGGTGGGGTCCTGTAGCATGCCTAACCATGGTTGCCAGAGTTGGTAACATTTTGGGGGCAGGCTCTGCTGTTATATATCATTTTACATTTGGGTAACAGGTGATTTATGATTCCCACCATTTGGCTAATGTTGGGTGAAGTAGTTTATTTCCAATTTAAAACAACTTCTTTCATAGTGTAAAATAGTGTTACGCGAACCATATTTTTGTTTTGGCAGGCAGAGGATAGAAATGAACCAACCAACCCAAGAAAGCAAATCCCCTGTGTTTTGGAGCCTATGTACAGAAGTCTAGAAACCAGCAGTTCATATGCTTGAGTCTTGTAGAAAGTGAAGTATGAACATGTCCAGAATAAATTAAGAATTTTAGCTGGTGATTTAGAAAATAAAATGGCAGGCAGAGCTGGAGAGTATGTTGTATAATGTTGCTGAAGTGTAATGTAACTGATTGAAACTGAATACGCTTTTCTGAAGCGCTAATTACATCCTTGAACCAGAAAGAGAAGTATGAATGGTGGATGTAGGTTTACCGATGGCCTCTAAGGTTTTCCAGGCGAGACCTGGACAGTTGCATAGTAGTACCGAACTTGCATGGCGTAGAAATGCATGGCGTAGCGTAAGGTATTTGAAAGAATGTTTATTAGTGATGTTAGAGTTAGCACTGAGTTGACCTAAGCGGATGAAAGTCCCATCTGCAAATAAAGGCTGTAACCATTAGAAAATAATGGCACCGCCAGCAATCTGCGCGGTTTCATGCACAATTGCAGCGCAGTCTCGGATTGCCCTACTGTGAACATAGCCTGAGAGTTTGGATGACTTTGGAGCTCCTGCAGTCTGATATTGTTTCACAGAATGCTTCTAGGAGTGTGTAGGGATTTTCCTCAGCCCTCATTCAGTTAATGATTGAAATATCCAAAGGCGGAGCATGATCACTTTATAAAATCAAATCCTTGCTGGCTACATTTAAAACATTTTGTTCCCCATTTCTCTCATGTATGATTAGGTATTTGAAGCAAACACAGATATGTCTTTACCAACACTAACTTTCAGCAGTCTCCAATCGGTTGGCAAATAAACGCCGTTTTCTACAGCCCCCAATTCCAAAAAAAGTTGGAACGCTGTTTAAAATCTACCTAAAAACAGAATATAAGGATCAGCAAATCTCATAAACGCATATTTTATTTACAATAGAAAACATATCAAATGTTTAACCCTTCTGCTGCCACAAACGTATGGCATACAGCGGAACACAACCGTTTCCAGCTGGCCACGTCAGTATGCCATTCATTGGTGGCTTTAACTATTCTGCTATAAGCTCATGGTCATTAGTGACCATGCACTTATATCAGAAAGGTTCCCCTGACGGTCCCCTTTAAATGAATAGCGGTCATCAGCGGCTAACAAGCCCCTGATGAGCGCTATTAACAAAAATTCCGGGCTCTATCATGCAAAGCTCCATTATGCAAAGACGACATATCTGAACATAATCCAGAAACGCCGCTGTCTTCTCTGGGCCAAATCTCATTTAAAATTGGTGAAATGATGTAAGTGGTGCCAATCAGTCATACTGTGAGCACCTAATCTATATAGATAAATGTAAGTGGTGCCAGTCAAATCGTACTGTGAGCACCTAATCTATATAGAAAAATCTTCTGCAGATTGTAATAAAAAAAAGAAAGTCTTTTTTTTTGTCTGTCACCTTGCTTCAACGATTATTCGTACATACTACCGCTAATCCCGAAAACCAATCGGCTTTCGGACCCAAATCCCGATAAAACAAATTACCGAAAAAGCTGAATGAAAACAAAACAAATTTTTTGCCGGCGCACATGTCTCTACTCTATAGGTTGGACTCGATGGACTTTTTTCTACCTATGTTCATCATCAACCCTGACGAATCCTGAGGCAGACAGCCATCACTTCCCATCTTTCCTGTGAGTGCCAACTAAACTCTTTTATAGGGCTCCATCCCACTAGGAAGATTGTGTGCATGTTTATTTGACAATAAAATTCATCAAAATGTAACAGAATGATTAGTATGTTGTTTTCCTTTCCCAAAAGCTAAAAAGAAAATCTTCCAGCCTGTGACATCTGCAATGTCAAAATACAAATCAGTATTTTATTATCATATTGAGGGAGAGACATGCAACTAAACATCTTAAAATGGGTTTCAGAGATACTGGTGTATTAAATCTAGACTTGCCATCTAGGTCAGTAAAATGAAAAGGATTTCCCAGTTGTATTTCATCGATAGCCTTACCCAAAAAACATAGCAAAGCTTATTTAAATCACATAACCCACAATACAGCATTGCAGGACCACACATCCCACTATGTACCAAGGACATCAATAGACCTGGTGACTGGCAATGTGTCCCGGGTCCACGGCTGAGCACCCCAAGTGTCATATCTGTGCCTGCTGCTCTGAAATCACAAGAGAAACATGTAAGCAAGAAAAAGCGACCAATCTGATTGAATGAGAGACAAATATATAGACAGCAGGAGAACAATTTGTTGGTTACAGTTGTGTGAAAATATCTGCAAATGTGTTTTGAAAATGTATAGAAAATGCATTTTTTCACAATTTCTTCCCAATAAAAACCTAGAAACTAAAACCATCAGTATCCAAATCTGCTACCAAATTAAAAGGATCATGGGGAGCATGAAATACACTCATCCCCATAATTAGAGCCAACATGACACTGCAGCTGTCACACATCGGCTCTATAGATCGAGAACTGAGAATTCCCATACCACAATATTGTCAGGATTTTTTGCGGGCGCAGTGCGGCTTTGCACTATGACCCTAAAGAGAACTAAGGCCAAAAAAGGTTGGGCCATAGTTCTCTTTTAAAGCTCCATCTGGGTCAGTTAAATATATACAGTAAACTCCCCATTTTTAATCCCCCCGGCATCCAAGGGGGATTGGTAGATTCCAGATAAATGTAGTTTCTGGTTGCTTGAGAGTTACTATTAAAAATAGGTCTAACTAATGCCATACCCCATA